ATTATTCCGCATTAGTCTATAATAATTTCCTGAATCCCGCTCATTCCCTCACTCACATGATCCCCTCCTCTTTTCTTTCCTAATGTTTTAACCCAATTGTCAAAAGTTTTCTTTTATGTAATTCTGTTGTTTTTATTGTTGTATCCCTTGTTGTAAGCCGCCTAGAGTGGTCTATCGACTAGATAGGCGGGATATTAAATTAAACAAACAAACAAACAAACAAGCCAGCCGGCCAGCCGGCCAGCCGGCCAGCCGGCCAGCCCAGGATGTCAGTGTTTATTCTTGCCATCTTCTTTTTAGATATAGCGAAGTTCACCCCACATGTCCCATTTTTTTCATGTTACGTTAAGAGCTATGCAGCTGTTCAACATACTGGATGAAATCCATTTGTGCTGTTACTTAAAAAGTATAATTTTCAGTGGTGAATTACTATAAGTTAAGAAATTTCTGTAGGCATTATCTGTAGTACAAATGCAGAGATTTCTTAACTTGCAGCAATTCACCACTAAAAAATCATGCCTTTTTATGTAACTGCACAACAGGATTTTGGCCATTGTGTTTTAAATACTATTTGCTTTGCCAGATTTATTCATTGAACCTTGTGAAATTTGGACTTCAAGCACGATGTTTCAGTATATAGTAATGCGGGACATAGTCTTGATTTTGATATTTTGTTCTTCAGAGGAAACAAAAACACTGGGCAAAATCCTATTGTGTAACTTTGCACTGGCATAAATTTTAACAGGGGTGCCAGAAACAATACATTTAAATTAATTTAAAGCTTCCTATCACCCTATTTCAGTTTCTGAGGGTCCTTAAGATTCTGTTTTGCCCTGGAGGGAGCCTTTGGGAGCCTTGGAGAGTTTTTTAAACTTTATTTCTTTGCAAAATAGCATAATACTCAACATCTCTGATTACTACTACATCCAGGATAAACTAGGCAAATAAATGTAAACTATATACTGTGTTTTCCTGAAAATAACACAGGGTCTTATATTAATTTTTGCTCCAGAAATGCATTAGGGCTTATTTTCAGGGGATGTTTTATTTTTTCATGTACAACAGTCTACATTTATTCAAATACACTCATGTGATCTTGTGGTTGCTGCATAATGGTGGAGGTCGGGGTTTCACTTAACTAGGGCTTATTTTTGGGGTAGGGCTTATATTACGAGCATCCTGAAAAATCATACTAGGACTTATTTTCAGGTTAGGTCTTATTTTCAGGGAAACAGTATATTTACATGGTATACGTAAATGGGATGCCCAGTATGGTGTAGTGGACAGAATGATGGATTAGGACTCAGGAGGCCTGGGTTCAAATCCTCTCTCAGTCATGGAAATTCATTGGGAGTATGAAACTGGCAAAACCACCCATTAAATATCATATTTTTCGCTCCATAAGATGCATCTCTCCATAAGACGCAGCAAATTTTTAGGAGAAGAAAACAGGAAAAAAATTGTTTTCTTCTCCTAAAAATTTGGTGAGCCTTATGGAGAGGTCAGTCTTATGGAACACGCCCTAGGACCCTTTGGAGGCTCACCCAGCCCCCCCGGAGGCCAGAGGGGGCAAAATCACCACCTTCAGGGACTCTTCTGAAGCTTCCCCAGACTCAAAAGAGTCCCAGAAGGTGGCAATTTCACCCCCTCTGGCCCCGCAGGGGTCAGGGCGAGCCTCCAAAGGGTCCTAGGGTGTGTTCCAGGACCCTTGCAAGGCTCCCTCCACCCCCCACGGGGCCAGTGGAGGCGAAATCGCTAGCTTCCAGGACCTTTTCTGAGGCTTGAAAGCCTCAGAAAAGTTCCTGAAAGGTCGCGATTTTACCCCCGCTGGCCCTGTGGGGGTGGGGGGAGCCTTGCAAAGGTCCTGAAAGGGTCACTTGGACCCTTGGGAGGCTCCCCCCACGGGGCCAGTGGGGGCAAAATCGCCAGCTTTGCTCCATAAGACGCACAGACTCCCCCCTCCCACTTTTTTGGGGGAAAAGTGTGTCTTAGAGCGAAAAATATGGCATCTTGCTTGCCTTGAAAGCCCTATTACGGTCACTTTAAATCGGTTCTGACTCAATGGCATACAGGTAGGTTTAATTTAAATTAAATTGGTTTAAATAAAAACTGATTTATTTGATTTAAATTTTTAAAAAATCAACTTTTAAAATTTAAATTATTATTTAAATCAATCTGATTTTTTTAAAAATCATTGATTTTTATGGCATAGAACAACAGCATGAGTAAATTCCACGACTGGATTGTTTTTGATCCAATCTGACTAACATGGAGTGCTTGTGTCTCGATGTTTCTAGAGTTAAAATTTCATCTTGCATAATTGCTGTTTTTAGAGCAATTTAGAAATGTAACTCTGTCTCAGAAATTTATTATATATCTTGAAGTATTTACTGAACATATTTTACAGGCAACATAAAAAAGCAAGGGACCAAGAAAATGTCTGCAGATAAGAAAAGTAAACAGCACAGAGAATGCCCACAACATTACTCTCTTGAAGAAATAAAGCAACGAAAAGTGTTAGACCTCCGGCGATGGTATCCGTTGTTAATATTTTTACAGTTTTGAATGTCTGAAGCTGATTTGTATGTATTATACACCAGTGATAAAGCACACACGGTTACTGGTTTTATAATCTTCGAAGGGTTGAATGGAGAAGTAAATTCACAACCGAATACTTATTTTTAGTTTGCAAACACTGTAAATGAAATACATTTGTCAAGATCCTGTTGGTATTCTTACAAGATTTACATTACTTGCCATGGCTAATTGCAGCTAATTAACAAGGTGCCAAGGCATGTCTTAGGAACATCCATGGTCATGTGTCTGATTATGCAACCAAGATGTGCCATGCTTTTTCTTGTAGTTAGTGGTGGAACGTTAGATAAACTGTCAGTGAACACCAAAAAGACTCTGGCTTTTGGTCTCATTATTTGTTCTTTACTTTGATATCTAAATCATGACATTTGAAAGCTTACATAGTGAACATTGTGTTCTTTTCAAGGTACTGTATGAGTCGGCCACAATATAAGACTTCTTGTGGGATCTCCTCATTAGTCTCTTGCTGGAATTTCCTATACAGCACAATGGGAGTTGGAAAGTAAGTTCAATCTGTAATAGACATTTGAATATCTTCTCTTAGGACTATGTCCTGTTGTGATTCTGTGGCGCTTATACCCCAGGAAACATGCTTTAAATATTTAAGCTTAATCCTTTATTTTTTAAAAAATTAATATTTTACACTTCAATTTTTTTTAAACCAGCTTACCACCTATTACTCAAGAAGAAGCTTTACATATATTGGGCTTTCAGCCTCCTTTTGAAGAAATTAGATTTGGTCCATTTACGGGAAATACGACATTAATGAGGTAAAATAGTTCTCTTGAAATATCTTACTTTGTTCCCCGCAGTTACATGAACACACTCATCTTTAGACAGTATTTTAGATAACCTTCATCTTGTTATTACTATGTGGAACTATGTTAAAACTGCAAAACTGTACTAATTTACCTCAGAGTTGGCCCTACTGAATTCATCGTGACCTTCTTTTCAATATCATGTACTTATCCTGCAAGAGGAAAAGTTGTTGGACTGACTTTCTGAGTAGTACAGATTTGCAGACAACATTCTAACATTTGGTTCAACAATTAGGTATAAAAAAAAGATCAAATAGCTTCGTAGTGCCTTTTGACTGTTAGCCATAAGGACTCTTTCTGCTGAACCATACACAGCTGCAATCTTACACATATTTATTTGGGAGTTAGGTTTTGTTGAACTCCAGTGAGACTGCTGAATAAACATGCCTACTATTATGCTGTACAATTTAGTAGGGCATGTTGTAAACATACAACAACTTCATTTATGTGCCACATTTTAAAAAGAAATAAGGAGGGAAAGTGTTCTGCTTGTGGTGCAAATGCCCTTTTCCCATTCAGAATACTGCATATTTGTGTTTTTCAGGTGGTTCAGACAAATTAATGATCACTTTCATGTAAAAGGATGTTCATATTTTCTCTATAAGCCTCATGGGAAGTATAAGACAGCAGGAGAGAGTGGTAAGTTGCTAATGTGAATATATCTAGCCTATTGTAACAGTAACAAAAGCAGCCAAAACAATAAAAATTTTAAAAGAACAGGGAAGAAATGGCATAGAACAAATAATAAATGACGATGACCATTGCCATTTTCATTTATTTATATATACAGTGGTGCCCCGCATGACAACGATAATCCATTCCGTTAAAATTGCTGTAAAGCAAAATCGTCGTCATGCGAAAGTAAAAAAACCTATTGAAATGCATTGAAAACCGATTAATGCATTCCAATGGGGGAAATACCTGCTCGTTTTGCGAAGATCCTCCATAGAGGAAGCCGTTTTCGATTGCTGTCTTACGGAAATAGGTCTGGAAAACAGCGGGAAGTCATTTTGAAAACCCGAGAATCAGCTGTAAAGATCGTCGTCTAGCGAAAAATGGTTCCTGAAGCAGGGACCGAATCGACGTTAAGCGAAAAAAACCCGTAGAAACATCATTTTGCGATCGCTTAACTCATTGTTAAGCGATTTTGTCATGAAGTGGGGTCATCGTCAAGCGGGGCACCACTGTATATACAGTGGGGTCTCGACTTACGAACGGCTCGACATATGAAAATGGTTCCTGAAGCAGGGACTGAATCGACGTAAAGCGAAAAAACCGTATAGAAACATCGTTTTGCGATCGCTTAACTCATCGTTAAGCGATTTCGTTGTGAAGTGGGGTCATCGTCAAGTGGGGCACCACTGTATATAGTACCATCAGTGTTTGTGGCTCTGTACAGAAAGTTAACATAGAATAAGAAAACTCTGCCCCAAAGAGCATACTATCTAAAACACAAAACAGCAAATTGGAGAAGGTGAGTAATCGTATTATTCAGATCATGATCATCAAGTAGTTCAAAAGGTATAATTCAAATAAAAATGATTAAAAAGCTAAATAGAATTTTAAAATCTCAGAAAATAGGCAAATTTTAAAAAGAGAATGCAACATACTAAATGAGAAGCGCCCTATATGTGTTCAGGGAGATGATTTCAAGGATGTGGACTGGCGACAGAAAAAAGTATGAATGTGATGAAAGAGCAGAAGATCCTTGAATAAATAAGCGTATAATTGGAAGAATAGAGGAAATAACTGGGTCTGTAGAGGGAAACCAGGATGGAAAGCTAGGAGACTGAGCATGTGAAGGATTTTACATATATGAGAAAGGTGTTTATATTGAGTACAAGAATTGATAGGAAGCCAAGACTTCAAAAGAGAAGTAATAAGATCTACATGAAATAGTTTAAATAAAAAAGAATAAATCTAAATTAAAGGTTTTAAAATTATTTTATCTTGATTTTCAATATTAATACATGTTTAATTGTTTTTAATATGTTGTTTATATAGTTTTTTTAAACTATTGTTTTAAAAATTTAGTTGTAGTGAGCCACCTTGGGTCTCTTATGGGAAAAAGGTGGCATAGATGGAGGTATTCGTATTTATATATGAATACCCCCGCACAAGTGGACATAACGAGGGTCCGGCCCCCTGGGGCCAGACAGTTCACTCACCTTCAGCTGTTGCTGTGACCCCCGCCCTCCCTTCCTGTCGTTCCGAAGCTCGCGGTCTGTGAGCCACTCTTCGACCTGGCAGCGAGGCTCGTCCTCCCGCCTCCTTATTGTTGGGTTTAGAGAGAACAGGAGGATTAACATCATTTTGTGAGAAACCAACCAAAAATCATTACGATATGCTAAATGAGAAATACCTAAGGCATGAACTAAAGTTTTAGCAGAAGAAACAAGGAAATGATGAATTATAGGGAAGTAATAAAGAAAATGGCTCCCAAGTTTACGTTGATGTCCTGACTGTAAGCTGCCCAGAATAGTGGCCTGGCCGTTAGATGGTTAAGGCAAACATTTAAATGAAATTTAAAAACCACAAGTCCTAACAACAGCCTGAATATGAGGCATGAAAGAAAGAGGTAAAACAAAGGCTGCATGAATGCTGCACAAGATGAACTGTAACATTGTCAACAGTTACAAAAAGTATATAAATATTTTGGACACTAAAATAAGCCAAAGTCAGTCTTGACTAGATTAAGTTTCAAATGACCGTGAAGCTTCGAAGCTGAAGCATCAGATGAAAAAAAAATGGAAATATGAGTTTGATCACTGGTAGAAATTTATGGGCTAATTTGTGATTGAGAAAACCCTGAAAGGGACAAGTCGTACGTCCCAATATCAAAACGATTAGAAGCACATAGTGTTGAATAAAAAGTACCAAACATATACAGTTCAAGGAAAACACTGATGTTATACATCTGTACTACAAGACATAGATATATCTATAAAAACACTTAAAACACAATTTCAGTTGATACATACTGTACATAGTAAAGCGATTATTCCCAGAATGATACAAAAGCTTCAGTTTATACATCATGAAAGGTTTGCATGAAACTAGTACTCTAAGGCAGGGGTTGTCAACCCCAGGTCCGCGGCCCGGTGCTGGTCTGTGGGCTTGGCAATACTGGGCCGTGGATATGGATCTCCGCCCCTGCCCGCCCAAGCAGTGGGCATGTCGCGCTCGCACGGAGTGTGTGCCACGCTCACACAGGGGGGCTTGCTCCCCCCAGCTGGTCCGCAGCTCCAAAACGGTTGGGGACCGCTGCTCTAAGGGAAAGTGAACAAAACAGAGTAGTTGATGAACATAGTAGGTACATGCTTTACATGCTTCTTCATTTCTTCATTGAGTATACAAATACAAACATTTAAGAAACAAAACAAAAATAACAGTAATAAATCCCTTTTATACGTATGCTGGCTTGTGTGAGCTATTGATCCCAAACCATCCAAGAGTTCTTCTATTGGAAAACCTATATCCCTCTAAAAGGAAGGGTTGGAAGTGATCTGCTATTAATATCACAGCTGTATTACATTCATCTCACCCTTTCTAACTCCTATATTCTCTACTTGTCAGAGTACAAAATGCATAATCAGATTCTTTGTCCAAATACATAACAATTCAAAATAATTATTGTTAGTCCTCCCAAAAACTCATAACTTATTTCTGGCTAGCTTTCCAAGAGATGGCAATGGTGATCATTCAGCCAAATTGAAATCAAGTTACTCCTTTTTCTACCTGATAGACGTATTTATGCAGCTTTTCTCTTCAGGTTACGAAACATCATGTGAACTGCTGCTTAATGTGATTTAATCTGATAGTATGCTGCTTCTCAACACAGACTAATCAATTTTGTAATGGTTTCATTTCATTTTAACCTGTAGCTTCAGGAGCTTTGACAAAACTAACACAAGGACTGCAAGATGAATCTATGGCCTACATTTATCATTGCCAAAATCATTATTTTTGCCCAATTGGATTTGAAGCAACCCCTGTAAAACCTAGCAAGGCATACAAGTAAGACTTTCATGACTATCTGTTGATGTGAATCCTTCAATAAAACATTAATTTCAGGCTACTTTTAAGTTCTGTATGCTGGGCTTACAGAACTGAGCTCCCAGCAAGTGATAGCAACAAATACAACAAAGAGTGGAATGGGCAGGAAGGTGAGTTCTGTTCATTGAAAGCATTCTTGCATGAGGGTCCTTCATTCAAGGAATCGTTAGTTGGATGCTGTGCAGTGATTTTTATTTTTATTTTTTGCTTCATTGAGTAGATTGGAAGTGCTGGTCCAAAGACAAAACTTGGATAAATGTTCTCAGTCAATGATCCTGCCTTAAAATACTTTTGAAAGAACATTGTGTTTGAATTCAAGATAGATGCATTTAAAATGTATGGAACGTGGAACAGGAATTAACAGGCCTCCGTCATATATCAGGCCTAAAAATAACATTAAATCCATCAATCAGTCTGCTGATTGCTTACCTTTGCCTAAATCAGAACTCTGTACTAAAGGTTAAATGTCTTGTATTTGAGGTGCATCTAAAGTCTTGCTGCCTTTGTAAACTTCTCCTAGAATGTGCTCTTGACATGATACATCTCTGATATATTAAAAATAGTGGCACAGCTTATGTTTTGCTTTTGTATCAAAATATTTTAGCGGTCATGTTACTGAAGTATCTTTCTTAATTTGTCAGAAACTGAATATTATATTGGAAACATTCAAAATATTACCCCTGCACAATTTTGTAAGGGGTGTCAATTACTTTAGTAGAAAATGGATATATCACATTTGAAGAGCTTAAGTACATAAGAATTAGTGCGCTTCTTTTAAAATATAACTCGTGAAGCTGTAATCTTACCTTTGTCATTAATGTTTATTTAAAGGGAACAATGTTTTCCACATACAGAGGACTACCAAGTGTTGCATTTCTTGCACATTTCGTGTTTGCTTTCTGAAATACCAAACATAACATCAATGAAGATGAAAGGGTTGGAACAGGCACCTAGTTGAGGTCTGAATGCACTTCACATTAATATAAAACAAAAGTGAATTGCAGTGCCCTTTGCATATAGAATATCTTGGATCAAACCTGCAAGATCGCACACATTTTTTGAATATCAGGATCACTGAATATTTTCGCCACATCTTTTTACATGTATGAGCCAAGTTTGTGAGGTATAGCCAGTAAAAAATATGTAGACAATTTTAGTCATGCTTAATAGGAATAGGGCTTGTTATATAAACGTATATCAGCTTGCAAGGCGCATGTATCACCTTTTCAATAACTCCAGAAAGCTTTATCACATCATTGTAAATGTGTGTGTATCTTTTGTGCACCAGAGGGCGACTCTTACACCAGGAAGTGGAACACTGGATACTTATTGGGGAGCCGAGCAGAAAACACCCAACTATTCACTGCAAGAAGTAAGTTAATGCCTTCGTAGTGATCTTATTGGTTATACGTATCTAAGTGCTAAGAACTTCAGAAATATAAATCACTCTTTCAGCTTCTCAAATCTCTTGAAAACCTATTAGGATCACTGTGGGTTGGAAGTGATCTAGTGACATATTAACAGCAGATTAAGAATCTAAACAGTATGTTTCTGGGTTGCGAGATTTTGATTTGTATTGATGACTTTTGTGCCTGAGGTAGAGCACTGTTTATAGAATACAGATGGACACCTTGTATCTAACCTTCATTTGATCCCAGAAAAAAAAATAGAAATATTATTAGAATTCTTCTTTGTAGAAGAAAAGCATTTCTTTACTGAAGAGGCCTCACCCTTAAAGGACAACTTACAAATTGAATGTTGTGATATTCAGCTAAGAGCTTCAGTTTATATAAAGTGATTTATCGAGGGACACATCCAATATAAACTGTATAGCATTATTTCATATGTATGTATTCATAACTTTTCACTAAGAATAGAGTCGGACTTTGGAGGCAGAATATGATGATGTCTACAAAATGCTATATTTATTTGAAAAATACATTTTCAAACTACCTTGCAGTGAGGATAGGGTAAAGACATATTGACCTTCCTGTTAATGAAATAATTTGGTTGAATGATGCAGAGACTAATGGAGCCACATTAAGACAGGACATGACTGGTGGAGGGATGGCAAAATGTTTAATGGACAAATAAGTTGATGACTGGAAGCATTAGGAGAGAATAGTAAGGGAATGCAAGATAAGCATGTGTTTTTTTAATAATGTGTTACGTTTCATAAAAAACAGGATCTCAGCCTTGAGATCCTGCCATATTGATCAATGTTGGTTTGCCCTGGATTTCAAGCTTCTGCTTAAGTGTCTCTTTGTTCTCTGAATAACAAATAGTTTGATTGTAAAAATAAATTTTTTTGCAATTGTTTTACTATAGATCTGCTATAAGACCCCTGCCATATATTTGTGATCTTTTTATTTTCGTGTAGGTGGGTAGACATTGTAACAGACTTAAATACTCAGAATCCTGAATACTTGGATATTAGACACTTGGAAAGAGGCCTTCAGTATCGGAAGACAAAGAAGGTAAGATTGCTTCATCTCAACACAGTGTTGCATGGGTGACTTGAGGTAGTATCTGCGAAATCCATTAATTTGGTTTGCCCAGCTTTTGGAAGATCTGCTATCTGGCTCATCTAGAAGATGGAAAAGCTAATCACTGACTGAAATCCTATTGTACTGCTATGCAAAAGATATCACTTTTAGTGGCAAATTGCTTCTACTTAAGAAATCACCATACATATTATGTCTCCTGAGTCACATGACTCAATATGCACTAGATAATGTCTATAGGGATTTCTTAATTTGAGGCACTTCGCTTCCAAAAGTTACACCTTTTGTGCAGTAGCACAACAGAATTTTAGCCAATGTGTACTTGGCAAGGGGAGAAAACACATAATTACAAAAGGTGAGGAAGATCTGATAGTAGTGCACTTCTCTCTAATGTGGCGACCATATTTTATATCTGAATTAAATGAAAAGGCTGATGTAAATCGATTAAAGCTTTCTTGCAACAAGTAACTTTTGTTATATACCCATGTTCTTTTAATAAAACGCAAATAATTAGTTATTTGTCCCTAGCTTGCGATCAGAATGTTAACTATTATGCTCATTAAGTGTCCTAAGCTATTTATTAGATCAGCTTAACCCAGGTCATGTGCTATGCATTAAAAGTATGGAATTTTGTGCACATTTTACTAAATTTTACTAAGATAATAGTAAAAATTGTGTACTGTCAAATTGATTCCGACTTATGGCAACTATGTTTGGGGTTTTCTAGGAGTAAAGTAATCAGACGTGATTTACCAGACCTTCTGTGATGCTGTGGTTTCCCAGCACGGCCTTCTGGGGGTACCCCACCTAAGGCCACACGGGGACTGGCTGCAGAGCCTGAAGCTGAGATTTCTGTTCCCCACAGTGCACCCGTGTATTGACCCATATTAAGTATTTTTATAACATGTATCTAGTGAAGCAATACCTGGGAGACCAGAAGAAAAATGCTCTGCTCTGTATTTTAGATTCTGTATGGTCAATAACAAAAATTCTTGCCTTCTGAATTGTTTTATAAATGGGCAGCCAATAATTTATTTTATTTATTTGTTTAAAAAAATACCCTGCCTTGCTCCTCAAAAAGACCCAAAGCATCTTGCATAATTAAAAATACATTTAAAAACTAAAAAGTGTAAGCATAGAAATGTTAAAGAATTAAACAAGTATTATATTAAAAATGGTAAATAAAATCAATACTAAAACCACATTTAAAAGCAACGGAGCACAACAATCTATTTAAAAAACTCCTGTCAGACTGCCAGTCACTAAAGACAGTCAATAATGTACTTTTATCACTGTTGGTTCTGCACAGTTCCAGGATGTCCCCAGAAGACGGGAATGGTAAACCACTTCTTTATGTGTCTGACAAAATGGGTGGTAGTCCACAAAAGCAAAAGCCATAATACCTTTATTTGTCCTCAAGATTCCACAAGGCTTTGTTGATTTTGCTACAACAGACCGGTGAAGCTACTGTATTACTGTACTGTCTATAATGCTGAGTGTGAGTTTCAGTAAGATTTGCATTACAAAATTAAAATAGCTGGTAAATTAGCAGCAACCATATAGTTTTGTGTGTAATCAGAGGTGAAGTAAACACTCGGCTGGTCCTGCCACGTTGCAAAGTGAAGTGAGCTGCATAAGATAGTACCAGGTGAATATGAAATCCAGAGTATTTTGTGGTACCACATCAATTGTGAGTTGCCACAGCTTCGCATCTAGCCCTTCACTTGGATTGGGAATCAGACACTTTTTACTAAGATAATAGTAAAAATTGTGTACTGTCAAATTGATTCCGACTTATGGCAACTATGTTTGGAGTTTTCTAGGAGTAAAGTAATCAGACGTGATTTACCAGACCTTCTGTGATGCTGTGGTTTCCCAGCACCGCCTTCTGGGGGTACCCCACCTAAGGCCACACGGGGACTGGCTGCAGAGCCTGAAGCTGAGATTTCTGTTCCCCACAGTGCACCCGTGTATTGACCCATATTAAGTATTTTTATAACATGTATCTAGTGAAGCAATACCTGGGAGACCAGAAGAAAAATGCTCTGCTCTGTATTTTAGATTCTGTATGGTCAATAACAAAAATTCTTGCCTTCTGAATTGTTTTATAAATGGGCAGCCAATAATTTATTTTATTTATTTGTTTAAAAAAATACCCTGCCTTGCTCCTCAAAAAGACCCAAAGCATCTTGCATAATTAAAAATACATTTAAAAACTAAAAAGTGTAAGCATAGAAATGTTAAAGAATTAAACAAGTATTATATTAAAAATGGTAAATAAAATCAATACTAAAACCACATTTAAAAGCAACGGAGCACAACAATCTATTTAAAAAACTCCTGTCAGACTGCCAGTCACTAAAGACAGTCAATAATGTACTTTTATCACTGTTGGTTCTGCACAGTTCCAGGATGTCCCCAGAAGACGGGAATGGTAAACCACTTCTTTATGTGTCTGACAAAATGGGTGGTAGTCCACAAAAGCAAAAGCCATAATACCTTTATTTGTCCTCAAGATTCCACAAGGCTTTGTTGATTTTGCTACAACAGACCGGTGAAGCTACTGTATTACTGTACTGTCTATAATGCTGAGTGTGAGTTTCAGTAAGATTTGCATTACAAAATTAAAATAGCTGGTAAATTAGCAGCAACCATATAGTTTTGTGTGTAATCAGAGGTGAAGTAAACACTCGGCTGGTCCTGCCACGTTGCAAAGTGAAGTGAGCTGCATAAGATAGTACCAGGTGAATATGAAATCCAGAGTATTTTGTGGTACCACATCAATTGTGAGTTGCCACAGCTTCGCATCTAGCCCTTCACTTGGATTGGGAATCAGACACTGTTTAGGATACAATCACCATTTCGACAAAGGACACATATACATGAATAAGGAAATGGATGTGTACATCCCGTCAATTGCAACAAAACCGTGGGACGCACTAAATCGTATAGGCATATGTCTAGAAGAGTGACCTCTTTGAGATGCATTGTATTTGCATCCATCTCAGTATCCAGTTGGGTCGTTAAGACTCTTTCAAGCATACAGATAATATACAGTGTATTATCTATGAAGCTGGAGGTGAGCCCACATTCATGTTTAGGCCAACCCAGGTCTTTTAATAGAGTTTTTCTCTGAGTAGCACACCATTACCTTTATGCCATTTCTTTTTTTGAGTACACTACATTGCCAAGCATGCAGGTCCACAACCATACAATCTCATTTTTTTCTGAGAGAGAGAAAAAACTCACTGTGTGGAACACATGGAACATTTCTCCAGAAGCCACATTTTTAAAACTGTCAAAAGCATCACCACATATCTTTGAAACTACTAAAAAGTTACTTGAAATGTTTGAAGTGCTTCTGTTTGACAGAACCAGTGGCTTATGCAGTCAGTGAGACAAAGCAACATCTGTTTGGAAGAAGCTCAAGAATTCTGGAGAACATTTCAACCACAAAGTAGTTCTCAAGCAACATGAAGTGCACATGATCCATTAAGGAGGGCACGTATCCATTAAGGAGGGCACGTATAAAGAAAGGGTGTGAATAAGTAGAAGCTCCCCTGTGCAGGCCTAGAATAGTTAGACAAGGAAAACTTAATTGCAAAGTGGAAGGAAAGGAAATAAAATCACAGTCAAGGGACTAGCAAACTTAGAATACCCCTCCCAGGAAACCCCACGAAATATTAATAATTGAGCAAGTTTTTTTTAACATCTGACAAATCTTTTGTGTTTTTTCTTAGGTGGGAGGAAATTTGCATTGTGTCATTGCTCTCCAGAGGCTTAACTGGCAAAGATTTGGTCCATGGAACTTTCCGTTTGGAAACTCTAGGCAGGACATGCAATCCCAGTCACAGACGCAGGGGTTGGCTAAATCTGAGAGTGAAGACAATATCTCTAAGAAGCAGCATGGTCGTCTGGGTAGATCTTTTAGTGCTAGTTTCCACCATGAATCTGTCTGGAAGAAGTTGTCTCATCTGCATGAAAGGCGGAATAGTGGCTTTCAGAGTTATACAGACTATGATGGGAATAATTAAAAAGATCAACCTCTGCAATTGCTCTACTGTAAAATACTCCTAAGGTTTGGCAGTGTTTATTGTGCACAGAATAGGGAATGAATAGAAATGTGATTATGAAATGCAGTCTTTGGAATGTTTCTTGCATTAAATACATGAATAGTTGCATTGGGGATGATGAAATATGTTAGTTCAGTGATAAGCACAGAATATTGTACACTTACAGTTCAGCCTGATTTGCAATTGGCCTGTGTTTCAGAATGTGGAGCCAGGGTGAATTTAGAGCAAAGCCATTTGGGGAGGGGGCCTATTATTAGAAGAGACAGATAAATAATCAGAGCATGAGATTGTTAATTTCCAATGTGTTTTATTAAACATGCATTGTATAATGGTGTTAAATGTAGAGCATATTTGCTTTTAAACCTTTTCAAAAATGCAATAAGGACATCATAGTCAAGTTCTGAATTCACAATACACCAAAAGAGTTATTGGGTGGTCTCAGTTTGTCTGTTGGAACATTGTTCTTTATAACTTAAGTGGTTTAAATTAATTGGGGCCCTGTGTTGGTGGTTGTAAGAAATGAGCCTGTAATGTGTCCTAGAAAGCCGAGGAGCGCCTACTTGCTCCTTTTTGAGGAGAAGCAGAAGAATATTTCACTGCCAGGGGTATATGCCTTCAGCACCTATTTGTGTAACTTGAATTTATTTCACGTTTGATAGGCTGCTTTAAAGAAAGCACCATTCATATTTTGTTTGGCAGTCCAGGGAGCTCCCAAATTTCCAATGCTGGGCTCCACCTGCCTTTTAAAAAAAGGTGTGCTCTCTGGATCCTTTTAATTTCACTTCTTTAATTATCCTGTTGATAATCAGAGAGATGCTTTAAATGCCGAAAACACATAGGCAACCACAGTAATATACCTCTTTGGCCAGAACACTGTTTGTATTTTTCCAAATGCTCATGTGAAGTAGCTTTATTTGGAAGTATAATATTTTGTTCTCATGGAAAAAAACACATTTTAATAAAAATATCAGTGGGATCAAGGATCATTTTGTTCTGTAATTTCATATTTTTGCAATCCCGTTCATTAAAAATTGGAGATCTAGAAAACTTATTTCTTTTCAATAAAAATACTTTTGTAGTCTTGTCACTTGCATATATTCTAGGAAGATTTAGAGCAAAAACTAGTTTCAACAAATTTGCTACTGATGCATTTACTTTACAGGGAAATGACATACAGATGCTTTAGTGCTCTTGCCTTAATGAGGAAACCAGTGGGTATAAAACTTAAGTCGGAAACCTGGAACCATAAATTGTACTTAGCCAAGGGTTGTTTTGGTCACAGTGGTGCTTGTAATTGGCTATGCAGTGTGGTCTTTTAGGCCAGATGGGCGGGGTATAAATCAAATAAATAAATGTATGTATGTATGTATGTATGTATGTATGTATGTATGTATGTATGTATGTATGTATGTATGTATGTATGTATGTATGTATGTATGTATGTATGTATGTATGTATGTA